CACTCTTCCTCATACTCCGTCATCTCATGGGATCTCCGGTTGGGTCAGAGCGCCCCTGTTTTGATGAAAAAGAGAAGGACTTGATAGTCCCAAAATTCTATCAGGCCTTAGTACTTTTTGGTCGAGAGTAAGAAAACTATGGCTTCCTCGTTCCCTTTTGACCGAATACCTCTAAATCGATCATTCTGGCATATGCTAGCCCAGATGACCTGAGAGTCCATGAGAAAGTCAGGCTTTCTGGATTTGACCTCATGTTTTGTCGAAAGAGAGTAAAGCTCGAATTTTTTTTTTTTTTTTTAGAAAATCAAGAGTGTTCGCTATGTGAAGCACACTGGAAAAAGAGTGTAACTTATTAACAACGGAGAAAGATTTCTACAAAGGAAAGAAAAAGTAATTCGAGGACGAAGATCAGACCATTTAACAGAGAAAAAACCTTTAAAAGGAAATACAAAGTATACGAGAAGAACACGAAAACTTGTCACGCGATTTTGAAAAGGAGTTGCAAAAGATGTCGCGTGACGTGAATAGACAACAAGAGTCGGAAATGAAAGCTTTACGAGGGTAGAACGACGAATTGAACGATCAGATTAATTGATTAGCTGAAGTCATAAATGCAAAAGATAATGGCGCAATTAAAGAAAGAAAAATCACAACAGAAGAAAAGTCAAGAATATTTCGCTAAGGTGAAGAGAAATTTAGCGCGGGAAAAGAAGAAATTGAAGGAGACTAAGGAGGAAGTAAGGACTGAGGTTAAAGCCAAGACAGACGCTTTGAAAGAATTGGCTAGACTAAAGAATGAACTTTGCAGTAATGAGAACAAAAGATGCGAGAACATGGAAAGACTTCGTAAGGAACGCTCCCTTAGTTCTCAACTTGCATCTACCTCTGACTTTGTTCAGCCACGTCATAATGCTTAACAATAGCCCCTTTCACGGTTAGTTTTTCTCATTTGCATTACAATGTAATTCAATGTGGATGTGAAGCAATTTGGGTAGAAACTACAAAATTGCCGGCAATTGCCTCAAACAAAAGGTCGATTACATTGTGAATCAAATGATAAAATTTAACCATAGAATTAAATGGCTTTTATTCTACAAGTGTGCATTGGATACATAAACCATAGCCTCCATTTGGCGTGAAAATATGCACGGATGTTTGTCCGCGGACATTATCTGTTCCGAGAAGCGAAAGGTCGAGGAAAACTGTGAGCTTCGTTTAGACCAATCGCGCGCGAGCGAAAATATTTGATGTATTATAAGAGGTAATAATTCAACGAAGCGTCCAGGTATATAGTGCCATATCCAACAACCACTGGAGGAATAATTCACTGCATACCTCAGTATATACCTCCACTATAAATCACTTTAACTTTAACTTTAGAAAAAGGAAGCGAAATTAGTGGTGGGGTGGTTAGACAAATTAAACACGTGTTTAAGACGAGGAGACGAGACAGAACTTTCTTAAAAATATTCCTCAGACTTTTTCTGGAAACGAAAGAGCGCAAAGAAATCGCCAAGTTTTACAAATCTGGCGAAACGAAAAAGAGAGGAGAGGAGAGGTTCGATTGCATGAACATAGGCAGGTCGCTAAAAGCAATTCCTGCATGCAGCTTTCACTGGCCTTCTGTTAAAGTGCACCTAACCCCAAAAATTTTTTTTCGCTAAAACGAATCTCCTTGTTATTTGAAATAG